GCATATTGCTTCCGGAGGGACGATGATTTGGGACCTTTACATGAACTATGTCACACGAGCAGGTAAATACCCTGAAAGCCACAATTGGTTGTTAGGAAATCGGTATCTCACCACTTGCTGTAAAGGGTTCTCCACCTCGGCTGTAAATCGAACAAATCACGTGGCTATAAAGTGCAACAAACGGAACGGATATTGAGAGGAACAAGAACAAGAACCTGTCTGTCGGCTTGTCGCCTTGTTCTACCTTCTACTTCCGGTGTGGACGAGACACGGAGTGCCCAGGGTTATGTAACCTGTCGTATCGTTCTATTCTCCTACACAAAAGCGAATTGCGCTGCCCGGCTGGAAGCATGAAAGGTAATAATAGTTTAGGAAGAAGAGAGTGTGTCTGATTTCTATATCATGTCCCCTGGCAGCGCTGGTCGCGGTGATGCGCCTATGAGGGGCAGGCGGGGGCGGGGGGCAAAACTAAAGCAAAACTCTCTTTTTTGTGGAGTTTCTCAAGTTTTCGATCGGGAATTATAGTACTCCGATTTATTATGAACCCGTGAAGTCGATTCCACCACGTTTGGTCTTCTTTTAGACCGCGTTATGCTTTGTTTTGCCCGATCGTGACACTGGATTTTCACTGTTTGTTTACATTTCCATAAAGGCGCTTCTGTCTGATACCGATGATACCCACTCACCTATTAGATTAGATTAGATTAGATTAGATTATTCGCATCCTAGGGGCCACAAGCTCAGCTTGTTAATCGCTGTATTTTTTGCCCCCCGCAGGGCACCCCGGCACGTACGGCTAGAAGAGAAAGGGTGGGGGGTACCGCCCAGACCGGCATGCCCGCGAAAGAGCGCGACAAAAGGTCCCCGTTGAATGGGGGGGGGGCCTAAATAAGCTGCGGAGTAAGGTGTTCAAAGGTTTATTAAACATTGGCAGTACACTGATAAGGCAGGCAAGGCAGGATTAAAGGTTGTAAGCAAGCCGCACCAGCCGCACCCCGGTCGCTAGTCAGAGTCACTGTCCTCAGAGGGGAGCTCCAGCTCCGCCCCGTCCGAGTCTGAGCGGTCGTTGGAGACGTCGTCCTGGAGGGACGTCGTCCTGGAGGGCCCGGTGCAGGTGGCTGGCCAGGCCATCCTTGTCCAGAGCCAGTGCCTCCCAGCCCGCTGGAGGGGTCTCCAGCCTGGCGAGGTCCTGGCGAAGGGACTCGAGTGATGCGGTGGTAGGCAACCCCTCGGCGGTCCAGCTGGATGTGATGAGCGCCCCGAGGTAGAGCAGCCGATCCACCTGCTGAACCTCCCTCCCCGCCAGGAGCACCGGGCGGGGGAGGGGGTCCCCAGTGAGAAATCAAAATCGATGTGACATCGAATCGACATCAAATAGATGTCAGTT